GCTTCCCTTTACTTCCTCACCCTTTGCTTTCACTTTCACTTTCTCCTTCCTCCCATCCACATTCATTTTCACTTTCATTTTATCCTTCCTTTTACTTCCTCCATCCCTTGCTTTCACTTTCTCCTTCCTCCCATCCACGTTCATTTTCACCATCATTTTCTGCTTCCCTTTAGTTCCTCACCCTTCGCTTTCACTTTCAATTTCTCCTTCCTCCCATCCATGTCCCATTTTCACTTTTGTTTTAGGCTTCCCTTTACTTCTTCATCTTTTGCTTTCTCTTTCCCCTTCTCTCTGGCTTCTACCTGTTCATCATCACTTTCGTTTTATTCTCCCTTTCCCCCCTTCCCGTTGCTTTCACTTTCACTTTCTCCTTTGCTTTTCTGAGGAGTTGAAGTCCATGAGTCATAAAAGAGCCGAGGTTGCCTTACCCCTGCTCTGCGCCAAAGAAATCCAAAATATTGCACTTTGAAACATGCCTCCTTCTTTCTCTCTTTTCTCTGATCACCCAGTGGTCTCCTTACCGTCTCCCGGTTTAGAAGCTACAGCTTGGAGTCTACCCCAGATGGGCAGACGAGGGCTTACAGACTCCAAGGAATGAAACCGGTGACCGGGATTTGCAGACAATTTCACCCCCAACTGCAGCCAAAGAGGGCACCCCAGAAACGGGTAGGGCTGAATTTCTAGAGCTGACCATCCAGCCTTCGAATTAAAAAAATCCGTGTTTTGTTTTGTTTTGTTGGTTTAAAAAATAAAAAATTATATATATATATATAAAAATCCGTGTTTCGTTCCAGAGGCTTCCACAAACCACGATGATCCTTAGAAAGCTTTTAGCCCCCAAACTTTAGATATACATACATCTGTTCGATTTTATCCGATTTGGTCTCGAACCCAGCACTTGGGTCTCCTCTGTCTGACTGCTCCATTGTTCCTCCCAGGTGAAGCGAGAAGCGGAGGCCGAACGTGGTTACGTGGAGCTGGTGATCGTGGTGGACCAGGCCGAGGTGAGGACTGTTTCCCCCCCTCCCCAATTTGCTCCCACAGCCATTTTTTTTTTTTTGCAGGCTTATCAAGTCTCCAGCAAAAATTTGCAGGGAAAAAAAATTGCAAGCATTGAATTGAAGGGATAGCTAGTGTAAACTGAAAGCTCATGTTGCTAGATCTCAGTGAGTAAGTCCTTCTTCCCCCCCCCAGCTCGCCCCACCTTCTCACCGTAGACACAAGTTTTGATTCCCTCCAAAGCCTCAGGAATCCCACAGATCTAGTTATCCCTCCCTGAAAACTCCCTATTGATCCCACGCTTATCCCACTGCTGACACCAATCTTTCTGCCTTGCAGTTCAAGCTGAATCCGAACCTCAACAGGACTCGAACGCGGATCTTGGAAATCGCCAGCCACATGGACGGGGTGAGCTGCGATCCCGACATTCCCTTTCCCCCCCCCTGAAATTGGAGCAATTATTTGGCTAGATTTCATCATATTGTTGGGATACCAATTTTATAAAGACCCGTTAACCCCGCCAGGAACAAAAAATATCCCCAGTTACAATGATTTCTTAATTTGTTACTCTGTGCAAAAATCTGTTTTTGTCGTTGTGGCTGCTGCTGTTCCAGTTCTACCGGTTGCTGGGTCTGCGGGTGGCTCTGGTGGGCGCCGAAGTCTGGAATAACGGCAACCGCGTGTCGACAAATGGAACCGCAAAAGAGATCCTCCAGCGGATCCTTGAGTGGAGAGAGAAGGATTTGCTGCCCCGGATTCCACACGACAACGTTCAGCTCATTGTGTAAGGCGTCAGAGGCAGCCGGGATCTTAGATCAGCAAGAGGACTAGCAGCTTGGTTGTGTTTTTTTGTTTTTTGTTTTAAATATTTTTAATTAACTCAATGCAAAAAGAGAGCAGCTCATTGTGTAAGACATCGGGTGCAGCCTAGATCAGCAAGAGGACTAGGAGCTTGTTGTTGTTTTTTAAAAAAAAAAAATTAATTAACTCAATGCAGAGAGAGAGAGAGAGAGAGAGAGAGAGAGAGAGAGAGAGAGTATAAACAAATCCTTCAAAGGGTCTAGCCACTTGGGTCAGAACCCTGAAGCTGGGGGGGTGGAGCCATGCAGAGGGGGGGTGTTACAAAGCCAGGGGGAGGAGCTACTGGGTAGTCCTTCCCCTCCTATCCCTTCCCTCTGCTACACTGAGATTCTCAAATGGGGGGGGGTTCCCCTGTGTGTTAAATGGGGGGTAACCCCTCCCACCAAGCCCCAAATTCTCATTAGGGCTCCTCCCCTCAAAGGGGGGGCAGCCTCCAATTCATTTAAAATTATTTTAGCGGGATTCCTGCCAAACCAAACAACTCTGAACTTTAATTTCTGGCATTAATTCGTGCAAACTCCCTCTGCTTCCTTTTTGCCTGCAGTGGTCCTCCGTTTCCCGCCGGCGTCATTGGCGCGTCCACCCAAGGGTCCATCTGCTCTAAGCGCTCCGGTGGGGTCAGCATGGTGAGTGGAAGGGGCTTCTGGGAGGCTGGGAACGCCGACAAAGGCTTGCAAAAAATTTCCCCCGGAGCATCAACAGGTGGTTAGCCAGAGGATCAAAGATCCCCCACTAGGAAAGATAAATTGAAAATTAAAAACCATCTAAAATGAGCATCTCCTCTTGACAAAATTGCTGTCAATTCATTCTTCTTGTCTTTCAATAAATCTGGTTAAAGAATAGAATAGAATAGAATAGAATAGAATAGAATAGAATAGAATAGAATAGAATAGAATAGAATAGAATAATAGTATAGAATAGAATAGAATAGAATAGAATAGAATAGAATAGAATAAAATAATAGAATAGAATAGAATAGAATAGAATAGAATAGAATAGAATAGAATAGAATAGAATAGAATAGAATAGAATAGAAGAATAGAATAGAATTTATGGCAATCATGGGGTCGCAGGGTGGTGTGATCACCACTTACGGCCTTCCTCGCTGGCTTCTGATTTACGACTACCTGGGTGTGGGGATGCTGTGATGGTCGTAAGTGCGAGGACCGGCTGTAAGTCACTTATTAGTGCTGGTTTCGACTTTGAACAGTCGCTAAATGAATTATTATAAGACGAGGGCTACCTATAGGACCCTCTAAGTTTGGAAAGGGCTTGTTTTTATGGGACTGGATTGGCGCAGTTCCCTTTCCCGAACCCTGGTTTGTTTTCCTCCAGGGCCATTCCGTTAGCTCTTTAATCATGGCTTCCACTCTTTCACACCAACTCGGCCACAATCTCGGTCTCGCCCACGACAGCGACGGCTGTGGCTGCAACAGTTCCATCCGTCCCCCAAGCCGGAAGTGCATCATGGAAGCACCAACAGGGTGAGCGAAAATACCTCCGGGCCGGCCGAGTAGGCTTCTGTTTTTCTACTTCGTTTTCAGGGAGCTGGAGAACTCCTCGCTGAATTTTTTTCCCGGAGTGATTTGAAACTTCCTGGATGGCTGGACACGAAGAATAGAATAGAATAACTGAGTTGGAAGGGAACTTAGAGGTCATCTAGTCCAACCCCCTGCTCAAGCAGGAGACCCTCTCCCATTTCAGACAAATGACAGTCCAGTCTCTTTTTAAAAGCCTCCAGTGATGGAATGAATGAATGAATGAATGAATGAATGAATGAATGAATGAATGAATGAATGAATGAATGGAGGGAGGGAGGGAGGGTGGGAGGAAGGAAGGAAGGAAGGAAGGAAGGAAGGAAGGAAGGAAAGATAGCAGAGTTGGAAGGGACCTTGGAGGTCTTCTAGTCCAACCCCCAGCTCAGGCAGGAAACCCTATGCCATTTCAGACAAATGGCTGTCCAATCTCTTCTTAAAAGCCTCCATTGATGGAGTGATGGAGCACCCACAACTTCTGGAGGCAAGTAGTTCCACTGATGAATTATTTGAGCTCTCAGGGAATTTCTCCTTCGTTCTAAGTTGCTTCTCTCCTTGATGAGTTTCCACCCATTGTTTCTTGTCTGGCTTTCTGGTGCTGTGGAAAATAAATGGAGCCTCTCTTCAAAGACTCAAATAAACTCTGAATAGCAAAGCAAAGATCCACCTCCCACACCTCGTTTCCCACGCCTGGAAAGTCAGGATTGTCCTGAAAATTCCTTCCTTCTTTCCTTCGCTAGGATTATGCCCGGGTTGAGCTTCAGTACCTGCAGCCAACATCGTTTCCAGCAAATCCTCCAGCGAAACCAGGTTAACTGCCTCCTTGACCAGCCCGAACCAGCCCGCCTGGTGAAGTCCCACTGCGGGAACCGCCTGGTAGAATCCGGAGAGCAGTGTGATTGCGGCCTTTTTTTGGTAAGGAAGGACAAAAACCAACAAGCTCTTTCTCGCTTATCCTTGCTGTGTCGAGGTGGCATGGTTGCCTTTATTTATTTCATTTGTGCCAGCAGAAATGGGGTGTTCTGTTTTGTGCCAGCCAGTCCCTAAAAAAGAGACTCCATTCCGTTTGGCATTCTCCTTCTCTGTCCTAAGAGGCCCCACTAGGCTCGGTGGGAATTTTCTGCTGCTAAAGGGGACATTTGTTAAATGAGTTTTAACAAACCCCCTGAGCAGGGGGTTGGACTAGAAGACCTCCAAGGTCCCTTCCAACTCTATGCTGATGCTGATGCTGATGCTGATGATGCTTATTATTATTATTATTATTATTATTATTATTATTATTGTTGTTGTTGTTGTTGTTGTTATTGTTATTATTATTGGTATTATTGGTATTATTGGTATTATTATTGGTATTGGTATTATTCGTATTGGTATTATTGGTATTAGTATTGGTATTGGTATTATTGGCATTGGTATCATTGGTATTGGTATTATTGGTATTACTACTACTACTACTACTATTATTATTATTATTATTGGTATTATTATTGGTACTATTATTGGTATTGGTATTATTGGTATTGGTATTATTGGTATTATTGGTATTGGTATTGGTATTATTGGTATTGGTATTATTGGTATTACTACTACTACTACTACTACTATTATTATTATTATTATTATTATTATTGTTGTTGTTATTATTATTATTATTATTATTATTATTATTCTAGTCATTTCTATAACAACATATCTATCTAATCGGCAAAACCAAAAATCAAAGTTCCTTTTTTTCCCCACCTTGAGCACAAAGTCCAGAAGAGGTTTCCAAGTGGCAACACAACAAATTGTATTCTTTTCTTTAATCAAAGCAGTCAATTTAGTCCTTTAGAGCCGATCTTTGTAGGACAATTTTTTTTCAAAATTACGATTTTTGTTTCCTTTTCCATTTTTTCTCTCCTTCCTTCTTCTCCAGGAGTGTACAGACCCTTGTTGTAATGCAACGGCATGCCAATTGATGGCTGGAGCCCAGTGTGCCACTGGTCAACCATGTTGTCACCAATGCAAGGTAAGGTGCCCCCCCCCAAAAAATGCAGGATAAACCCCTTCTTTTCGTTCTTAGCCCTCTTCCGATACAAACCAGGATTCTGCTGGTTGGTTTGTTCCCCGGATTCTGTTCTGGTTCTCCATCCTCAACTGAAGCTCTTGTAAATTTGAAATTTCCAGCTCTGCCCAGTTTTGCCCAGCCTCAAGTGGCAAATTTTTAATAGTTTCTCCAAGTGTGAAATTCAAAGAAAGAGGAAAATAGTGGGAAAGTGGGGAAAAGGAGAGGGGGGGAAAAGAATAGGGTAAAAGGAGAAAGAAAAGAAAGGAAGCACTGACTTCTGCCTTTTTTTTTTTAGCACAATAGAATAAAGGCAATAACATACAATTACTTGTTTAGACTTTTTATTTTTGCCTAATATAGAAATATATATATTTCTATAACAACATCTCATCAGCAAAACCCCAAATCAAAGTTTCGTTTTCCTTTCCACCACAAGCACAAAGTCCAGGAGCGGTTTCCGAGTCAAAAAAGGAAGCTGCTTCTACAGGCAGTCCTCAACTTACCCCCACAATTGAACCCATTTCCATCGCCAAGCGAGACCCGTTACTAAGGGAGCTTTGCCCCATTTAACGACCTTTCCCGGAAGAGTTGTGAAGTGAATCCTGACTCCGTTGTTAACTGAGTCACCTGGTTGTGAATCCTGGCTTCCTCACGGACTTCGCTCGGCCGAAGATTGCAAAAGGGGACCGGGGGACATTGCAACCGTCGTAAATATGAATTAGCCACCAAGGCTCTGAGTTTTGATCATGTGACCCCGGAACACCAGAACAGTCACAGGTCCAAGCCAGTTGCCAAGCAATTTTGGTCACGGGGATACTGCAAAAGGTTATAGGTGCAAAAAATGGCGCCGTCTCTTTTTTTCCAGTGGTGTTGTAACTTCGGTCACTAAACCCAAACTGTTGTAAGTTGAGGGTACCTGCACAGGTAACTCTACCTGTTCTGTTCTCCCATGTGTAGCTGCTCAGTGCTGGACACACGTGCCGGGCGGTCTGGGATGAATGTGATCTCCCTGAATTCTGCGATGGGACCTCTCCACACTGCCCATCAAATCTCTACAAGCAAGACGGCACCTTATGCGAAGGTGGAAAGGCCCTGTGCCACGGGGGGACCTGCCCCACTTACTCCAGCCAGTGCCAAGCCCGTTGGGGTCCCGGTAAGCTGAGGTTCGATCCACCCACATTCCATACAGCTGGTCCTCGAGCTACGTCCAGAATGGGGACCAGGGTTTCCGTGGCGAAGCAAAGCCTTGGTGGAGCGAGTCACTATCCGATTTTGTGATCTCTGTGTGTGTGTGTGTGTGTGTGATGGTGGTTAAGGGAATCGTGCGGTTGTTAAGGGAATCACATGGCTGAGGTAGTCGAGAACTAACTGTCAATTAGATATGTTCATGTTTCATTCGAACTCGCTGCTAGAACTCACCGTCTCCTGGCGATTGGCCCAAAGTCACCCAATCAGCTTTCCTGCCTAAGTCAGAACTAGAACTCACCGTCTCCTGGTGATTGGCTCAAAGTCACCCAGCCAACTTTATGCCTGTCAGGACTAGAACTCACTGTCTCCTGGTGATTGGCCCAAAGTTACCCAATCAGCTTTCCTGCCTAAGTCAGGACTCGAACTCACCGTCTCCTGGTGATTGCCTCAAAGTCACCCAGTCGGCTTTCATGCCTAAGTCAGGACTAGAACTCACTGTCGCCTGGCGATTGGCTCAAAGTCACCCAGTCGGCTTTCATGCCTAAGGCAGGACTAGAACTCACCGTCTCCTGGTGATTGGCCCAAAGTCACCCAATCAGCTTTCCTGCCTAAGTCAGAACTAGAACTCACCATCTCCTGGTGATTGGTTCAAAGTTACCCAATCAGCTTCCGTGCCTAAGGTGGAACTAGAATTCACCATCTCCCATTTTCTTAACCACTAGATAGTTGTTTGTTTTTTATTTACCCTGTCTAATTAACCGATGATGCTTTATCCTATTTTAGTTGATCTTTTAGCAGCCTGTGAACCGCTCAGCTTGGGAGCCCTGCATTTATTTGCAGTAATTCCCTTTTTTTTTTTTAAATTTTAATTTTTTTTGCCCAGATGCGGTTCCCGTGTCGGAGGGCTGCGTGGCGTCTCTGAATCAGAGGGGCGACGCACGGGGAAACTGTGGGCAGCATCCCGACAGCTCCTACATCCCCTGTGCCAAGAGGTAAGCGCTTCCCTTTTTATCCCCTACAACGGTGGATTCTTTTCACACACCGCGAAGGTTGATTTACTAAAACGATGGGGAAAAAAATTAGTTCAGGATCAGGAGGCCAAACTCTCCTTAAGAACTGTCTCGTTTAGCAGCAGAAATTTTCGGCTCCATCGTGGCCGTAAATCGAGGACCACCCGTAAATAAAATAGAGTGTTGGAAACTTTATCCTGTTTACAACAACTTACACAAAAGGTCACACAATATTTACGGCAGCAGCAATTCAAACCCTACAGCTCGGAAATGTACGATGAATGTTGGCAGGAATGGATAATTTAACTGGGTGGGGCCTGGAGGCCGGGCCCCAGGCTCTTTTAAAATTAAAAAAAACCCTGAGGACTAGGAACATGAAGGAATGATTTACGTTTCTTTCCCACAGCAACGTCCAGTGTGGGCAGCTGCAGTGCGAGAGAAGACGGAACGGATCGGTCCGGACGTTCAACTGCCTGCGGGATGCTCTTAGGATTGTCGTTGCTGCCGATGTTGTGGATGAAGCCGGGGTGTCACCCGGGACCAGTTGTGATCCTAACAAAGTGAGCAAGCCTCAAATGGGCTTTTCTGGCCGAGATTTTGGGGAGACAGAGTTGCTTCCCCCGCCTTGGGACAGTCATGAAATGAAGTTGTACGTTGAGAACTACCCATGTTTTTGTTTATAGGTTTGTATCAACCAACGATGCCAGGATGTTTCCTCCATCAAATTCCCGGTATGCCAGTGCAGCGGGCATGGGGTAAGTGAAATATATTTCACACACACACACACACACACACACCTCTCTCTTTCAAAAACTGTTTACCTAACATCAAAAGACCAAAAGAAAGGTAGGCTGAAACACTGGACATTTTTTTCTCTTCCCCCCCACCACAACTTTTGTGCAAGAAGTTGCTAGTCCTCAACAGAAAGTGTTGAGGACCAGAAACTTGCGAGAAAGAGGGAAGGAGGCAGCGTGGGAAACTATCAGCCCGAAGACCTCTCTAAACCCAGAACCAGTTTGATCCTGGCTGGGCTAACTGAGGCTTCCCTTTTCGACCTGCAGGTTTGTAACAACAAAGGGCACTGCCATTGTGAGCCCGGGTGGGCGCCCCCTCATTGCCAGACGGGCGGCCTCGGGGGCAGTGTGGACAGTGGGCCCCCCGCCCCACAGGAAGGTAAGGCAAGGGAAGGTGGGCGCAGAGCAAGGGCTTAATTGCGTTGTTTGCGATGATATGAGTGCCCAAATATATTTATTAACGATTGCAGATCATTGTGTCGTTTGCAGTTATAGGAATGCACAAATATACTTATTAATGATTGCAGATCATTGTGTCGTTTGCAGTTGCAGATCATTGTGTCGTTTGTAGTTATATGAATGCACAAATATATTAACGATTGCAGATCATTGTGTCGTTTGCAGTTGCAGATCATTGTGTCTGCAGTTATACGAATGCACAAATATATTAACGATTGCAGATTATTGTGTCGTCTGCAGTTATAGGAATGCACAAATATATTTATTAATGATTGCAGATCATTGTGTCGTTTGTGGTTATACGAATGCACAAATATATTTATTAATGATTGCAGATTATTGTGTCGTTTGCAGTTATACGAATGCACAAATGTACTTATTAACAATTGCAGATCATTGTGTCGTTTGCAGTTATACGAATGCACAAATATATTAACGATTGCAGATCATTGTGTCGTTTGCAGTTATAGGAATGCACAAATATACTTATTAACGATTGCAGATCATTGTGTCGTTTGCAGTTATACGAATGCACAAATATATTTATTAATGATTGCAGATTATTGTGTCGTCTGCAGTTATAGGAATGCACAAATATACTTATTAACGATTGCAGATCATTGTGTCGTTTGTAGTTATAAGAATGCACAAATATATTTATTAATGATTGCAGATTATTGTGTCGTCTGCAGTTATACGAATGCACAAATGTACTTATTAACAATTGCAGATCATTGTGTCGTTTGCAGTTATAGGAATGCACAAATATACTTATTAACGATTGCAGATCATTGTGTCATTTGCAGTTATAGGAATGCACAAATATATTAACGATTGCAGATCATTGTGTCGTTTGCAGTTATACGAATGCACAAATGTACTTATTAACAATTGCAGATTTGCAAATGCATGCATGCCTGGGTTGCAGCGTGCACCTTTCCCCCCCCCCCAGCTCTCCCCTTCCTTTGTTCCAGCCGCCTTTTCCTTGCTTCCCACTTGTTCCTGCCAGGTGTGTCAATTTGCAGCAATTTCCCCCAGCCATTAGTTCCCCATTAAGGAGAGCTTTTCCGTGGGTCATCAGGGGGTCTACCTGAAGAAAAAAATCAGCTGGTGTCTCATTTACAGCCCTTCCTCCCCCTGGAAAGACTCAAAGCATCTTAACGGGGGGGGGGGGGGGGGGGTTGCAATCCCAGCCCTCAGCGGGTGGGGTCCGGAAAAGACGCCACACAGAAGGAAGATGCCATGGGGAGGGAAGAGGAGAAGGTAGGTAGGTAGAGGAGAGAGGCAGGATAGATAGATAGATAGACAGACAGACAGACAGACAGACAGGGAGGGAGGGAGGGAGGGAGGGGGAGGGACATACAGCAAGATGGATGGATGGATGGATAGATGGATATAAGTGGATGGACAGATAGATGATAGACAGAAATGGATGGATGGAGAGAAGGGAGAGAGAGAAAGAAGATAGATCTAGATAGATAATAATAGTAATAATAATAATAATAATAATAATAATAATAATAATAATAATAATAATAATAATAATAATAATAATAATAATAATAATAATAATAATAATAATAATAATAATAAAGTTGGAAGGGACATTGGAGGTCATCTGGTCCAACCTCCTGCTCAGGCAGGAAACCCTATACCATTTCAGACAGATGGCCGTCCAGTCTCTTCTTAAAAATAGATGGATATAGGTAGATGGATGGACAGATAGATGAGAGACAGGAATGGATGGATGGAGAGGAGGGAGAGAGAGAAAGAAGATAGATCTAGATAGATAGGCAAGTGGACAGATAGATGGTAGACAGACAGATAGCTAGATAAAGACAGAGAGACCGAGGGATGGATGGATAGATAGGGAGGGAGGGGGAGAGAGAGAGAGAGAGAGAGAGAGAGAGAGAGAGAGAGAACATATAGATAGATAGATGATACATATATATATATATATAAACGCAGCGCTCTGATTTGCCATCATCCTGGTCCAGCGTCTTCCCTATCCTCAGCTCGGATGCAAAAATCTCTTAGATTTTTTGTTTTTAATCAATTTATCGCCTCCCTCTCCGGCTAGGACTTAACCTCGGCTCAGGAGTCCAAAGTAAAAACCAGGAACTTCTTTCCACAAAGTGACAAAAGCAGAAACGAAACCGCCAGGTGTATTTACGACTTTAGGAAATGCCTCTTTTCCAAGCCAGCCACGGAGCTCGGCACCCGCCGGAGGATGCCTAAAAGGCCCGGCTTTGTGAAACGGGACACAAGGCCTCTTTTGTGCTAGCGAGATGCCCAGCTGCCCCCGCAGTTCGGCATGCGCCGTCCAACCTCGGCACGGCCTAACACTTGCTCGCCTTGTCTTTTTCCAGCGAGCCGGGCAGCCTCGACGGCGCTGGTGGTCATCTCCCTGCTCCTGGCGGCGTTGCTGGTTGTCGGCCTCTGTTGTGCCAAACGGCTGGGTCTCCACAAGCGCCTCTGCCAGTTTGGCAAGGGCACAAGTTGCCAGTACAGGTAAGGCCGTTCTCGCGCCTCTTCCTCGCCGAGTGACGCGCTCCTTTAAGGGGGGGAAAAAAAAGTAACCCTTGTTTTTGTGCGCTCACTCTGTAACCCTTCGTCTTTAGGGCCGAGCCAGAGTCGCGGGTGCAATTCCTTCACCCAGCCGAAAGGTGCGAGGGAGTATGGGTTTTGGGGGTACACGCGCCCCTCGCTCTGCATGTGAAAGGATTGGGGAGGGGTCTTCCTCAGTTGCAGCAACGGTGGGGCTGCTTGGATCTTGGCTCTGTGAACGGTGACGGTGCTGTTTGGGGCGCCTCAGCCAGTAGTCCCGGACTTACGGCGGTTTGTTTAGTGACTGATAACCAGTCCTCACGCTTATAACACCCCCACAGACCTGGGATTGAAATTCACCCCCTTGGAGGTCATCTAGTCCAACCCCCTGCTCAAGCAGGAGAGCCTATTCTGGACAAATGGCTCCGGGCGTATCTTAGTGACGGTGGCAGCATCCCGGGATCAGGTGGAGCTCCTTTTACGACCTTCCCACAATGGGGGACACCGGATTCATTTAAGGACCCCGGCTTGCTTACCGATGGAAATTCGGGTCCCCCCAAAGTGGTCGTTAAGGCGAGGACTGTCTGGAAATCCTTCCTGAGGCCAGATCGCTCCAGATAGTTGACATATTTTTCCCCTCCCACTTTTGCAATCTTAGAGGCTGGAGCTAAACGTCCAGCAAACCTTCCGCAGGGAAAAAGAAAACGGGGTTGGAACGCCGTCTAGGGTAGTAAGCAAATCGTGGTTTGTAAGCAACGGGCTGGTGGCAAAGTCCTCCACCTTGTGACCTCTCTGGTCTCTTGCCTCTTTTCCTGCCTGGACTGTCACTCTGCAAGACACTCCGCTCTGCTTTCTAAGAGAACTGATGGTTTTTTCGGCTGGGTTTTGAGTTTGGCTCCCATCTGAGTTTGGCCGGCTGCGGCTTCCTTGATCATGGCTTAAACATGGCTCTTGAAATTGTGGCTTGGCAGAACCTCTTCCAGGAATCGGATTCGCAAACAGCTCGGAAGCGTGGATGGCTTGCCTTGGGGTGTTTCCCATTTTACAGGTGGCGGGGTTTTTCTCCTTCAAGCTCGCCCGCCAAACCGGGATTAAAATTGTCTCCTGCCAACCCCATTTCTTCAGGATCACCCAACTGGAACCCCGAAGTTTCGGCAAAGATCCGCCAAGCCGTCCTCGGCCCCCCCAGTGGAAGCAAAGCACGGAGCTTCAGCTTATGCCAACGTCAAAGGTAAATGGGGAGGGGCTGAAAAAGCACCCCCTTTTTTTCTTCTGCTCATCCCCCCCCCCAAAAAAAAGCCAATATTGCTTTCCGCAGAACCGGACAGAGTGAATCCCAGGAAAGTTTTAAAGTTAATTTAGGACGTTTACGAGGCTGCAGCATCCATTTGAAAACCAAGAAAAACCGTTGCCAAAAAAGAGAGAGAGGATTCTCCTGTCTCTTGCCCCACTGTAGTTTGGGGGGCCGCCAATTTTGATATCGAGGAATTGGGGTCTCCCAAAAGGAAAGGAATCGAAGACCTGGAAAGAAAAAGATGGTTTGATCTCATTTCGATTTTGGAATAAAGCAGCAACTCGTTTTTCTAAAGTTGCAGATCGAAGGGGAAAACAAAACAGCCTGGTTACAACGCCTGTGGGGTTGTATTCGGGGGGGAGAATTTTGTGGGAAGGGTGCAGCTGGATAAAACAGGGGATTCCTCCCCTCTTTGTGTTGGTCCTGGGGCTAAAAACCTGGAACGCTGCAAATCTAAAAGTGCAATTCTTCCGCTGTCTCTTTTACAGCCTGAGAAACAAGGGATGTGAGTTTGTGAGTTTCTTGCTCTGCCTGTTGTGCAGCTGAGGGCTCAGCTGTCTCTTATCCAACAGTTCCCCTGAGTAGTATCCCTTCCCAGTCTCCCAAGTCCATTCACCCCGAAGATGAACCAAATTTACTTTATTGTAGGGCTAACTTTAGCCGAAGCTTGCAAGTCTGAAATTACGAATCCCCCGCCTTCTCTTTTACAGCCTGGAAAACTCGAGAAGGTTGCTTTCTCTAGCCATTAGGCAGCAATCTCCTATCCAAGAAGGTCCAGTTGCCTCTCAAAAAGACTTCCTTTCTATTTCCTGGAAGACATTTCACTTCTCCTCCAAGAAGCTTCTCCAGTTCTGACCGAAGGGCGGGGAATGGAAGGGTTTATATTCCTTGCAGGCCTCAGATCATTAGCGCTCTTCCTGAGAGTCACTGGGGCCAGTAGAAGCGGACATGACTGCAAGGAATATAAATCCTTCCGTTTCCCCCACCCTTCGGTCGGAACCGAAGAAGCTTCTTGGAGGACAAGCGAAACATCTTCAAGGAAAAAAGGCAAGAGTTTTTGGGATAATTCTTTGGGATAATTCTACTTTATTGTAACTTTACCAGAAGCTTGCAAATTTGAAAGGACAAAGATCCCGCTGTCTCTTTCTGAACCTGATAAACTAGAGACAGTTCCTTTCTCCGTCCGTTAGGCAGCTCTGGGGTCAGCAATCTCTTATCTAACTGTTCCCCAGGCAGCATTTGTTGGACCCGAGGTCTTTCCCACACACCATTACAGAGTTTGCCCTTTCTTAGACGGACCCCCACCACCCCCAGGCGATCTGTGGCCGAGTGGTCAAAGAGAGGCAGGATTAATGGGGTGACACAGGTCAAGACCCCTAACCTCCCCATAAAATCTGGGTCGCTCTCCTCTTTCTGCCCGTCTTTCCCTCCTTTTCCCAGTTGGCGCATGGTGCATGGTTCCCCCCAACCACGCATGGCATCGTCTGACTTAACCTCCAGCATGTCACCAGTCCTATGTTTAGGCTTCTTCTCCATTCTTTCTCTTTCTCTTCCTCCCGTCCCTCCCGGGCGCTCCCTCTCTCTCCGTCTCGCTGCAGCAGCCCGTTGCGTTGGGTGCCCCGCGGCCCGACCCACCTTCCAAGCCGCTGCCGCCTGACCCGATCCCGAAGGATCCACAGGTAACCGAGTCGGGAGAGGGAGAGGGAAAGAGGGATCTTCTTTGTACGTTCCTCAAGGCTGTGGCATGTGCCTCCTTGCATGGATAGGCATGAAAGGAGGAGGCAGGAGATTTCCCCCAAACGCTCCTTCACATTGTACCCCACTTTTCCTACTCCGGATTAGCAAGAGATGGAGTGAGCGGACACCACGGTTCGATCCTCACAACGCCCGGCGTCCACTCTGCTTGTGTTTCACTCTTTCCAGAAGATTTAAAAGACAGGAAGTCCTTGACTTACGAGGGTTTACTTAGCGGCCGTTCACAGTTACATCGCTGAAAAAGGGGCTTGCGACCGTTTTTCACACTTACGACCGTCGCAGCCTCCCCACGGTCAGGGGATCAGACATTCCTATTGACGAGGGTCACAGCGTCCCCTGGGGTCACGCGATCCCCTTTTGCGACCATCTTACTAACTTAACAGCTGAAGTGATTCACTTAACAACATGGACAGGAAGGTCGTAAAAGGGGGCAAAGCCTGCTGAATGTTTCACTTAGCGACAAAAATGTCGGGATCTGTTGTCGTAAGTCAAGGATTACCTGTCCAAGGTCTGTTAAGCCTAGCAACAAATCGGTTGCTTTTTTTCCCTGAAGATCTTGAACTATGAGCTGATGTTTCTCCCTAGTTAATTATCATTTCTTATCTCCTTTCTGGAAAAAAAAAATAACCCCTCTTCAACCTTGCATGTCCTTCTTTGCTATCTGAACGTTTTCTGCCCAGGACTCCGCTGGGGATCGACCCGGCCCACCTATACGCCCGCTGCCTCCTGACCCCATTCCTAAAATTCAGGTAATTGTTTACCCCTTTCCACAGGGAGGTGAACTGACCCGGGGGGGAGCAGAAGGGGGCAGAGGGACTCCATTTGCAAATGGAAAAGTGGGGAGAAGAGCCAGAGTAGCGTTTAAGAGGGGTGGACTTCAACTCCCAGAATCCCCCAGCCAGCCTGCTTTAAGAAAAGTGGATTCAACTCCCAGAATTCCCCAGCCAGAATGCTTTAAGAGGGGTGGACTTCAACTCCCAGAATTCAAAGTCCTCCTACATTCAGGGCCCAGCACCCCTACCCAAGGCCCCCTGTCTAAGATGGCCTCCAACTCACGAGGCAAAAAGGAGGCTGGCTGGGGAATTCTGGGAGTTGAAGTCCACCCCTCTGAAAGTCTGTCCCCCAGACTCATTGGTGCAAAGGAAACATTTGAGGGGTGGGCCCTGCCTTGATTCACAGCTTTTTGTTCACGCAATTTCGGGTTTTTTCCCTCCAGTCCCCTGGCCCCACCAAGCCGCCCCCTCCTCCCCAGAAGCCGTTGCCTTCGGATCCGCCCCGTGCCGTGTCCAGCTGTGACCCCGAGGTCCAGATGTTGCCATCCAGGTGAGCCCAAAGATAGGAAGTAAGTAGTATTTTGGGCAAAAAAAGCCAAAGGATGTAAATGGTGGCTTCCCCACAAAATGACACATTCACACGATCACAGGACAGTGCAAACTGACTTTCACACTTAACACTTAACGTTGCAGCGTCCCGATCGCGGTCACGTGATCAGAATTCAGACGCTCGGCAACTGACTCGTATTCATGACGGTTGCCGCTACAATCGTGGCTTGGAAGGCCGTAAAACGAAGCAAAATGCACTTAATAAATGTCTCGGGCTCAATTGCAGTCGTAAGTTAAGGACTTACCTGTCTTTTCTTTCTCTGCTTTTCTTCCAGACCGGCCCCCCCACCCCCTCCCACGCTGGCCGGTTCTTCTGGACACACTCGCGAAATATAACCTGGCTCGCTCCCTCGAGCTGCACAAGTCACTTCTCGCGGAAAGGACCCTCCGCCATCTTCCCCGTGGCTCGCTTGGCTGAGTTCGGCTGTACATTTTGCAGAGCACCGCCCTCCTTCGTCCGTCACAAGCTCGGGACAGCGATGGCGGCTTGTCCGGGACGGACACTGGATCGCTGGGAAATTTGCGGCCTAGCGGTCAGGAGTCCTAACTTGACTAAAGGGACGCCATTTTGATCTGCTTCGAATCATTTTCCCGGGGGAATTCTGGGAATATATATATATATTTGCACTAGCAAGGCGAACTCTCTGAGGCGCCCCCTGGAGGTGCAACTCTGGACGTGTGCAAGGGGAGTTGCACACCCGCAGGTGTGCAAGAGGCAAGCTATTGGATCCATCTCCACTGGAATAGATTCACCGAAATGGCTGGGAGGCCATGGTTTTTTTTTTCTTAATAAAAAGAGAGCAACTCCCTTGATTTTGGGGGAAATTCTCTGTTTTTCGGCGAGGGAAAGCATTTACTGGAAGTCCTCAATTTACGACGGCTCGTTTAGTGGCCGGTTCAAAGTGACAACGGCACTGGGGTGGGGAGGAAAGCGACTTGGGACCGTTTTTTTCACACTTCCGTTGCAGCATCCCCGTGGTCACGTGATCCAAATTCAGCCGCTTGGCAACTGGTTCCTACTTAACGACGGTCGCTGTGTCCCGGCCTTCTGACAAATCAAGTCCAGAGGGAAGCCAGATTGACTTAACGACCGTGTGACTAATTTAACAACCGAAGGGGCTCGCTTAACGAACATGGCGAGAAAAGTCGTCCAATGGGGCCAAACTCACTTAGCGACAGAAATTGGGGGGTTCGTTTTAGTCATAAGTCAAGGGCTCCCTGTATTTTCTCTCCCCTTCCCCAGTCTCTGATTTCTCCACTAGATGGCGCCTCGGTCCACCGTCTCCTTCTCTCCCAAGCCCTGCCTTTAATTTAATTAATTTGATTTATTAAAGGAGTGGGAAGCAGATAAAGAGCAGCCACGATCAAAGATGAAGCCAAAGACACTTCTTTTCTCTTCAAAGCTTTCCCCCCCCCCCGTGCTCCCACCCTCAATATCCCCCTTTTTTTTTTAATATAAACCACCATTTCGGGTTTGTTCAGAATCCCTTGCTAATATCACAAGACCTCAGTACAGTGTGGAGATTCGGTTTGATCCAGATAGACTGCCTTCGGAGCTGGAGGCTCTGGTGGATCCAGCTAGGCAACTCCCCGCCTTGCAGGTGTCACCTGGCCGGCTCGGAAGCAGGTGGCACTCTACATAGATAAACTATATAAATAAAGATTTATTTATTGGTTAAAATGTATCTGATGTCTATCTCGCCGCAAGGACTATTCCAGGCAGCTTCCAATGAGAAAAAAGAAAGAAAAATGAAAGAAGGGACAACAGAAGCAAAACAATAGAATTATAAAATAAACAATGACGAAGGAACACACCGAGAATAAATACATCACTAGGATAACCTAAAACTAAATGGCTTAAATATGTGTGTGTGTGTGTGTGTGTGTTTTGAAGCAGGAGATTGGGCTAGAATAGATGATTTCCGAGGTCCAGCTCTGTTATTCTGTCTTTTGAGCAGGGGGTTGGGACTAGATGACCTCCAAGGTCCCTCCCAGCTCTGTTAATTCTGTCTTTTGAGCAGGGGGTTGGACTAGATGACCACCAAGGTCCCGTCCAGCTATGTTATTCTCTCTTTTGATCAGGGGGTTGGGACTAGATGACCTCCGAGATCCCTCCCAGCTCTGTTAATTCTGTCTTTTGAGCAGGGGGTTGGACTAGATGACCTCCGAGGTCCCTTCCAGCTCTGTCATTCTGTCTTTTGAGCAGGGGGTTGGGACTAGATGACCTCCGAGGTCCCTCCCAGCTCTGTTAATTCTGTCTTTTGAGCAGGGGGTTGGACTAGATGATCTCCGAGGTACCTTCCAGCTCTGTCATTCTCTCCTTTGATCAGGGGATGGGACTAGATGACCTCCAAGATCCCTTCCAGCTCTGTCATTCTGTCTTTTGAGCAGGGGGGTTGTACTAGATGACCTCCAAGGTCCCTTCCAGCTCTGTCATTCTGTCTTTTGAGCAGGGGGTTGGACTAGATGACCTCCGAGGTCCCTTCCAGCTCTGTCGTTCTCTCCTTTGATCAGGGGATGGGACTAGATGACCTCCAAGGTCCCTTCCAGCTCTGTCATTCTGTCTTTTGAGCAGGGGGTTGGACTAGATGACCTCCGANGCCGCCGCCGCCGCCGCTGCGCCCCCCTCGTCCCTCCCGGCGGAGCGATGCGCCCCATTGAGGCGCTGCCTTGGGGGCTCTTCGTGTTCTGGGGCGCCCTGCTGGGCCGGCAGGTGCGGGGCCTCCGCCACAGCGTCCACTGGAACGGCAGCAACCCCAGGTAGAGGGAGGCGGGGGTGGGGAGGGGGCGCCGGCGGGGTTCCCTCGCCCATCCTCCCCGCCCAGGGCTGGGCAGTAGCCAGCGCAATCCCTTCCTTTCCTTCCTTCCTTCCCTCCCCCCAATCCTTCCTTTCCTTCCTTCCTTCCTTCCTTCCCCCTCTAATCTTTCCTTCCTTCCTTCCCCCCTTAATCCTTCCTTCCTTTCTTCCTTCCTCCCTCTAATCTTTCCTTCCCCCTTTTCCTCCTTCCTTCCTTCCTCCCCCTTACTCCTTCCTTCCTTCCTTTCTTCCTTCCTTCCTCCCTCTAATCTTTCCTTCCCCCTTTTAATCCTTCCTTCCTTCCTCCCTTTAATCCTTCCTTCCTTCTCCCCTTTAATCCTTCCTTTCCTTCCTTTCTTCCTTCCTCCCTCTAGTCCTTCCTTCCTCCCTCTAATCCTTCCTTCTTTCCCCCCTTAATCCTTCCTTTCCTTCCTTTCTTCCTTCCTCCCTCTAATCTTTCCTTCCTTCCTTCCCCCCTTAATCCTTCCTTCCTTCCTTCGCTCCCTGGGGGTGGGGAAAAAAAACATCCTTCCCCCTCGGGGGCCCTTGCAAGCCCTCCGGGCCTCTGCACCCCAGACAGGCCTCTTCTTCACCCCCTCCTATTGCTAAGACCCCCCCCCCAATAATCCAACATCCTTGCCCACAGGAGAATGGGCAGCCCTTTGTCCCAGGGCAGGGAGAAAGCGCAAGAAAAAAAATTCTCTTCCCCCCCCTTCCAAAAAAATAGGAGCCCTCCCAACTCAAGCTCCCCCCTCCCCTTTCATCTCTTCCCCCCCATCCATTCCACACACACACACACACACACACACACACACGCTGGCCCGCCTCTCCCCTTGAAAAAAAAGTTTCTTAAACTTTGCTGGTGGGAAGGAAGGGGTTAAAGCGGAGGGAGGAGGGAGGGATGGAGGGGGGGTCGCGGGGAGGAGAGCTGGGCGGGGGGGGGCTTCGGCTCCATGTTGCACGCTCTCAGCATCTTCTTTGTTTGAAGGCCGCCCAGGTACCCCCCCCCCCAAATGTCCTTTCGCTTTCCTCCATTGGAAGTTCGGCTTTCCCTTTGATCTCGCCTTTTTATTGGGGAAGGGGTTAACTTAGCCCCCTCCTCCCCCCCCACTTCTGCTCCACCATTGGCAAGGGGGAAGGGGGCAGACCTCCCCACCTCTGCCAGTTTGATTTAATTTAGCGATGGGCTGGTGGAGAGGAGGCTGAGATTCAGCTTAATTTGGGGGAGGGGGCTGTGAAGCAGGTTGCTGTTTGCACACACACACACACACCTCACTTTTCTTTCCAAAATCTGCATTTCTCCCCCCCTCCAAATAGTTGAGGCTGGCTGGCATCACTTCCGTTTCTTCTTTCTAACAGTTGGCTGATTCTTACTCTTATTCTTTCTTTATTATTCTTATTATGCTTTGATTCTTATTTGTTCTCCATTTGGATAGCTTGGTTCTTTTCCAGCCTTATTTTTCTGGAAATTTATTTTAGTTGGGCCTGCTTGTTCCCCCCCCCGCCCCCCCCAGAAGGGTGGTGTTCCCAGGCACCTTTGGAAGGCCGCGATTGCATTTCTTCAAACAAACCGGGGTCAACTCCCGAAGCTGGCTGCAGATAGGCAAAACGGACCAGTTTTTCCATATCATAATTTAATTGGAAAAATCCCAGGCCTGCCTCTGAACAAACCCAGGGTTTATTTGCTGTGCAAAAATGCTTAAAAACTAGCAAAGGTGGGGGGGGAGAAAAATATCACACTCGAATCTCTTGTTTTTCCACAAGCCAAGATAGCCCTGGGCTTAAAACAATCCGTTTAGTGACTAATTCAAAGTCACAACAGCACTGAAGTGATGGTCACGTGGTCAAAATCCAGACGCTTGGCAACTGACTTGTACTTAACGACAGTTTGCTACCTTCGGACAAGCAAAGTCAATGGATTCATTTTACAACCGTGCCACTCACTTAACAACTACAGGGATTCACTGCAAGAAAAGGTTGTTGTAAAAGGGGGCAAAACTCGCTTAAGGACGGAAATTTGGGGGGCCCATTGTAGTCATAAGCCAGTGCAAAGAGGTGTGTTTTGGTGGGGGGGAAAAACACACACACACTGCATTTTTTTCTGATCTCAGCAAAACCTTCGAAACGAGGCCGATTAGCATCAAACATTTCTGGTTGGACCCCAACATCTGGGCACCGCTCTCCAGTAAAAGGCCCAGCTGTTTTCTTCTGCTGGATGGGAATTGGGTCCTGGGCTAGTATTTTAATTTTTCTTACCCTCCTTTTAAAAAAAAATGTTTTGGGAAAGGCGATGGGTGGCGGTTGTGTTCCTGGGAGATGCATTCCAGCTTGTTTTTGCTGTGCTCAGCGTGGGAGAAGTTAGTTGGCACCGAGTTTGAGTCCTGGTTAAAGCCACACCAGAAGGACTGTGGGAAGAGCTAGCCAGCCCCTCCCACTATCTCCCTAGGAGAGTGTTGACAGGTGAGAAACTCAACAACTATTTGCTCCCTGTTTGCACAATATCTGGTCCCTTCTCTGCACCGAGAAATCTAGTCTCTCATGGAGAAGGTCTCTGCTCTCATCTTTTTCTTGCAGGGCCAGCTTCCTTGATACATTTGATTTTGAAACTCTATCTGTGTGGAGTTTGCAAGGAAAAGATAAGATCGGAGGCTTTCTCCCTGAGAGACTAGATTTCTCGGTGCAGGGAAGGGAGCGACAACGTTGTCCTACCAGGAGCAAACGTCTGCCTTTTTTTAATTTACGCTCCCCTTGATCCTAGCAAGGCACAAAGCAGCTTGCAATCAAACGCAAAGCTTAAAACATTGAAATAAAAATAAAACATTGAAATAAAAGCACACAGCAGAATATAAACATTACAACAGAAACAGGGTTCAAAACGATACAACGGGAGCATTAAAAAGCACACAAATAGGATGCAAACATTAAAACAGAAACATGGTTCCAAAGCATGGAAGAGAAACATTAAAAGCATGCAACAGGATGCAAACGTTAAAACAGAAACATAGTTCCCAAAAATATATAGAATGCCAAGTTAAATTACATTATTATTGGATGCAATGGTGGCAGATAAAGATTTGGTGACAATGTTGTTGTTGTTTTCTCCAGGCTGAACTTTTTCAGTTTTAACATCTGCGGCCAAAACAGCAAACGGCAATTTTATGTACTCATTCATTCCGTTTCTTCAAGAATGCCACGATCCTAAGTTTAATTACAATTGTTTTACCCACATTTGTTTTTTTTAAAAGCCTGCCATGGTTTCAAATCTCCAACGCTTGGCAATACAAAATCTCCCAGAAAAGTTTGCGGTCGCCCTGTAAAGTTTACAAGCCCTGTTTTATCATTCTGATCCTCCATTTTTTCCTCCCAAACCCTGTTCTAAGGAATATTCTTGCACCCCAAAACTGGCAGTGCATGAGATAAAGGCCACAAGGGAAGCTGAGGGGTACCCCACTTTTCAGTCTGTTTATTGGCTGCAAAGGCCAACGTGACCTTGGGACGGTTAGGGCTCTGGTTACAGAGGTTGCAAAATGGGGATGAAAAATGACATTTGCTGGAAGTTTTGCAGAGTGGATGTCAGGAAACATCTATTCTTCTATTTTATTCTGTTCTATGTTCTATTCTATTTTCTATTCTATGTTCTGTTTTATTCTGTTCTGCATTCTATTCTATTCTGCATTCTATATTCTATTTCTATATTCCTATTCTATTCCATTCCATTCCATTCTATTCCTATTATTATTCTATTCTATTTTCTATCGCCAACGTGATCGCCAACGTCCGATAATCGATATGGCACAACAAGAAGAAGAATTCTATTCTATTCTATTTTATATTCTATTCTATTCTTCATTATTCTATTCTATTCTATTCCTATTATCATTCTATTCTATTTTCTATTCTATTCTATTCCATTCCATTCCATTCTATTATTATTCTATTCTATTTTCTATTCTATTCTATTTTCTATTCTATTCTATTTTCTATTCTATTCTATTTTCTATTCTATTCTTCATTATTCTATTCTATTCTATTCTTCATTATTCTATTCTATTCTGTATTTCTATTCTACAGTATTTTGTATTTCTATTCTATTCTAATTCTATCCTATCCTATCCTATCCTATCCTATCCTATCCTATCCCATCCACAGTGGCTTTTGAAGCTTCAACTGCCCTTACATGTTGTGGCTTGGAAAACACAGCCTATTCCGGACTGTACGTCTCTTAACTGCCGGATCGGAATCTGATCTTTGGAGGGCTGATTGCTGGCCCTGATTCCCAAACTCGGGATGGGGAGAGGCCCAGAGTGTGTTTCAGAGGGAAAACCTCCCTGATGCAAGATTCTGGTTCTCAACCTCCTCCTCCTCCTCCTCCTCCTGCGTTGGGAAGCGATCTCCCAATTTGCTGGTGTTTTGGACTTCGCTTTGCGATTGCAAAATCTCTGCCTTGATGCTTAATCTCCGCTTGGGCTGTTTGCTGGTTGAGTCACTGCGGCCTTGTAATGAGAAACGGCGCTTTTAATGTGGGGAGGATATTGCAAACTTTTGTCAAGGGAAGAAAAAGGTGGATTTAACTCGGGAAAGGTGTTAATCTCAGCAAAAGCCGGCCAAGCCACAAAAATCTTTAAGTTAAAAAAAAAATGGATGGGAAGCAGGGTTCTCCAGACCACATGCAGAGTGCAGCTGACGAGCCAGCTTCACATGGGTGGCATTGTAAGTTTCCCGAAACAAGGACGGCCCATCCTAAAGCAGGTCTTTGAAGGGGATGTGTTAAGCGAGTTAATAAATTTGCAGTTAATAAATGTGCAGTTAATAAATTAGTAATCCAGCTTTCCCCAATGGCTATTCTATTTAGCTTCTATTCTATTCTTCATTCCATTCTATTCTATTCTTCATTCCATTATTCTATTCTATCCTATTCTATATTCTATATTGTATTCTATGTTCTATTCTGTATTCTATATTCTCTTCTATTCTTTCTAATTCTACTCTATTCTATTCTATTCTTATTTATTTACTGTTCTATTTTATTATTATTTATTTTCTATCCTATCCTGTCCTATTCTCTATATTCTATATTGTATTCTATGTTTTATTCTGTATTCTATATTCTCTTCTCTTCTCTCTCTTCTCTTCTCTTCTCTTCTCTTCTCTTCTCTTCTCTTCTCTTCTCTTCTCTTCTCTTCTCTTCTCTTCTATTCTATTCTATTCTATTCCATTCCATTCCATTCCATTCCATATATTCTATTCTATTCTATTCTATTCTATTCTATTCTATTCTATTCTATTCTATTCTATTCTATTCTATTCCATTCCCAGCAGAGGAAGAGATACTTAATCTTTCCATCTTCACAACATCCAAATAAGTCATTGGCGTTTCTAATTATTTAGCAGCAGCCTTTTGTCTCTGAAGGACCTGCAACGTCTCCACCCCATGGCCCGCTTCCGCTGAATCGCTTTTCTTGCACAACTGTGTTTGTGCATCTTCTTCAAAGCCCGCGTGTCAAATTCACGGGCCACACCAAGAATGCCAGGCTGGGAAGTCACGGCTTCCTTTTCTCTCTCTCTCTCTCTCTCTGGGCTAATCTGAGGAATTTAGCCGAGGAGAACCACTGCTAATCCTCAATTTACAACAACAATGGAGGCCCAAAATTTCCGCTGCTAAGCCAGACAGTTGTTTAATGCCTCGTTTTACGACCTGTCTTGGCACAGCTGCAGTTGCTAAGTTAGTAACGACGTTAAATGAATCTTGTCTGAAGGTCACAAAAGGGGTTTTTTTAAGGGACTGTTGGAGGGTCTGCTCAATCCTTTAAAGATGGAGAGGCTATATGTTGAGAAGGAGTCTGCCTGTTGCTTCCCAGTTTGAGAGCTTCCTCTGATTTTAAGGGTGGGAGAAGTGGATGGATAAAGCGGATAAGTAGAAAAGGAGTCCGCCTATCACTTCCCTGTATGAGTCGCTGCTCTGTCGTTTAAAGGGGAGAGTGGATAAACTGAGGAGTCTGCCTGTTGCTTCCCAATTTAAGAGCTTCCTCTCTTTGTTTCAAGAGGGGATCAGCGGATGAATAAAGCGGATAAGTAGAAAAGGAGTCTATCCATTGCTTCCCTTTAGGAGTGGCAGATCTGTCGTTTTAACGATGAGAGTGCTGAAGTTGAGAAGGCGTATGCCTGTTTCTTCCCAGTTTGAGAGCTCCTTCTGTTTGCTCAAGAAGGGGATAAGTGGATAAATATGGTGGTTAAGTAAGAAAGAGTCTCTCTGTTGCTTCTCTGTATGAGTGACAGATCCGTCGTCTAAAGGGGAGAGGGGATAAACTGAGGAGTCTCCCTGTTGCTTCCCAGTTTGAGAGCTTCCTCTCTTGTTCCAAGAGGGGACAAATATGGGGGTTAAGTAAGAAAAAGAGTCTCTCCGTTGCTTCCCTGTATGAGTCGCTGCTCTGTCCTCCTTGAAAGATAAATCCGGATTTTCTTTTGAGGAGTCACTTGAAGCCGTTTCTCCTTCCCGCTTCCAGGTTCTTCGATTCAGATGGAGGCTACGCCATTCAGGTGTCCATCAACGACTATCTGGACATTTACTGTCCCCATTATGAACGGCCGCTGGCCACCGGAAAGCCGGAATCCTTCACTCTGCTTATGGTCAATGCCGAAGGTTATCAAGGCTGCTATGAAACTCCAGGAGCTTTTAAACGGTGGGAATGCAACCGTCCTTATGCCGCCTACGGGCCGGTCCGATTCTCGGAGAAAATTCAGAGATTTACCCCTTTCTCGCTAGGCATCGAGTTCCAGAGCGGCCGTGAATATTACTACATATGTGAGTCGAAACCTTTTCCACTTCTTCAATCCATCAGCTGATAAATAAACTCATAAAACACAAAATAGCCTTGTCTGAAACAGTACAGGTTCCCCCGCTTGAGTAGGGCTGGACTAGAAGACCTCCAGGGTCCCTTCCAGCTCTGCTATTCTATTCTATTTGATTCTATTCTATTCTAATTCCTATTCTAATTCCATTTTCTATTCTATTCTGTATTTCTATTCTATTCTATTCTCTATTTCTATTCTATTCTCTATTTCTATTCTACTTTGTATTTCTATTCTATTTTATTCTATATTCCATTCCATTCTCTATTCTATTCTATTCTATTCTAATTCCATTTTCTATTCTATTCTGTATTTCTATTCTATTCTCTATTTCTATTCTATTCTCTATTTCTATTCTACTTTGTATTTCTATTCTATTTTATTCTATTCTATTCTATATTCCATTCCATTCCATTCTCTATTCTATTCTATTCTAATTCCTATTCTAATTTCATTTTCTATTCATTCTGTATTTCTATTCTATTCTATTCTCTATTTCTATTCTATTCTCTATTTCTATTCTACTTTGTATTTCTATTCTATTTTATTCTATTCTATATTCCATTCCATTCTCTATTCTATTCTATTCTAATTCCTATTCTAATTCCATTTTCTTTTCTATTCTGTATTTCTATTCTATTCTATTCTATTCTCTATTTCTATTCTATTCTGTATTTCTATTCTACTTTGTATTTCTATTCTATTTCTATTCTATTCTATTCTATATTCCATTCCATTCCATTCTCTATTCTATTCTATTCTATTCTATTCTATTCTATTCTATTCTATTCTATTCTATTCACAGGTTTATTTTAATTGGATTTATTTAAAATACAAGCTTATTTAAATGTATTTCAATATTTAAAATAGACGTTTATTTTTTTAAGGGTGTTTGAGTTAAACTTATGTTTCTGTTTGTCTGCACAATGAGCCTTATTCATGTCGTACAGGCAGCCCTCGACTTACAACAGTTCATTTAGTGACCATTGGAAGTTACGACAGCACTGCAAAGAGGGATTTAGGAGCTTTTCTAAGTTTTTTCTAAGTTTTTCACCCGACTGTTACCGCATCTTCGTGGTGACGCGATTGAAATTCGGACACTCGGCAACTGACTCATATTTATGACGGTCGCAGCGCCCTGGGGTCACGTGATCCCCTTTTGCAATCCGCTGACAAGCGAAGTCAATAGGGAACGCCCGAACCGAGTTAAAATTGTGGTTTATAATCGGTGGGATTGACGCAATTATGCCACATTTCTGTTTTTTTGTTCCCGGTGTCTTGAATGGCTCTGCTAAACACCAAGCGGTCCAAAAAAACAGATCTGCCGTTGCTTTTAGCCTGGGAACAACAACCCTGCGGGGTGGGTGGGTTTCAGAAACCAGGATTGATCCCTAAGCTAACTTAGTTTTCCTCTGTCGTTAGCCCAGATTTTAACCGCTGTTTCTCAAGGATGGCAAAACAACCTGCCCGATTTTGGAATTTATAACGTTCCGTCTTTGCGCTTCTGATAAAAAAGCTGCCGATTTGCCGTGCTCCATTAAAAACATGAAATAAAAAATCAGAGACACACACTAAGAGTGTCACGGTTCTGGGGCCGAGTGTCACTCGGCCTTAAATCGCCATCATGCTTTTTACAGACGGCTTTATTGAAATAAATACGCCTGTTAGCGGAGCCCGGTCCCCAGGCCGCCTGCTTCTTCAAGCGCACAAAATGAGGAGGGAGACGCAAAAATTGTCATTGCCACAACCTGCATTTTGATGTCCGCAAAATGCCAGGTGCATTTGAAGTTGGCAAATGGCATTTTTGTAAGCCATGCACACCTGTTATACCATTGTGGTTGCAACCACCAGCAAAAAAAAAAAAAGGCCCTTTTTTTTGGGTCAGTAGTGTGTCCCGGCCTTGGAAGTTGTGCGCTGTGCCCACACACTTACGACTTAACGTTTCTGCTTAGCAACAGTAATGTCACAAGTCAAGGACTACCTGTGTATCGGTAATGGCACCGATGCCATACGCAGAAGATCACAACAGTTTTGCCCCATTTTACGACCTTTCCTGCTACGGACGTTAAGCGAATCGGTCGGTAAGCGAGTCACGTGGTCGTTCAGGACATCCGGCTTCTCCCGTTGACTTTGCTGGTCAGAAGGTTGCAAAAGGGGATCACGTGATTCCTGGGATGCTGCAACCGTCATAAATACGAGTCAGTTGCCAAGCATCTAAATTTGATCACGTGATGCTGCGACGGTCGTTAAGTGGGAAAAACGGTCACTCACAAGTGCCTTCGAACAGTCCCTAAAAGAACTCTTGTAAGTCCAGGACGACCTCTTGTTTAAAAAATCTGAAAGCTATCTAAATTTATTTATTTATTTATTTATTTATTCGATTTATATCCCGCCCTTCTCCTTACCGGACTCAGGGCGGCTAAATAAATAAATTGGCTTGATCTTGCTTGGTTAACTTGGACATTTGATCTTCTAACCACCATTCGTGGTCTCTTTTTTTCTTCTTCTTCTTCCGACAGCAATTCCTGCACCGGAGAGTCCTGGCCAGTGTTTGAAGCTACGCGTTTTGGTCTGCTGCAAAGCCACCGCCAGTAAGTCGGTCTGTCCATCCAGCTGGTGGGGAGGCAGTTCTTGAGACTGTGCGTGGGGACCGAGGGAAAGGAGACCACCGTGTGATTGCTGCCTTATTCCTGTTTCCTTTCTAGCCCCAGACCTTGCGACGGAGGCACCCAAGTCCCAGCCTCGAGGGAGAGGCGGCCCAGAGAGTGAGTTGGAGAGCATTTCCGTCTTTTAAATGCAGAAAACAAAATGGCGTCTATTAATAAGGAGTTATGCTGCAACGGTTAGGTGAAAAAAAAAACGGTCTTAAGTCCGAGATGGTGTAGGTTCTCCTGCTTGAGCAGGGGGCTGGACTAGATGACCGCCAGGGTCCCTTCCAGCTCTATTCTATTATTATTATTATTATTATTATTATCATCATCATCATCATCATCATCATTATTATTATTATTATTATTATTATTATTATTATATTATTCAATTCTATTCTTTATATTCTATATTCTATTCTATTCTATGTATTCAATTCTATTCTATTCTATTCTTTATATTCTATATTCTATTCTATTTTCTATTCTATTCTATTCTCTGTATTCTATTCTATTCTCTATATTCTATTCTATTCTTTATATTCTCTATTCTATTCTATTTTCTATTCTATGTATTCTATTCTATTCTCTATATTCTATTCTATTATTCTATTATATTCTTTATATTCTATATTCTATTCTATTTTCTATTCTATTCTATTCACAGGGTTATTTATTTTAATTGGATCTCCTTTCTCTCTCTCTCTCTCTCTTCTGCCCCTAGAAGCAGTTGTCATTCGTGGACGTGGTCCTGCCCCGATCCAGCTGGGCGTCGCCTGCTTGGGTCTCCTGGTGGTGCCCTTTCTCTGGCTCTGACGGCAGGGAATTCGGATCGCGCGTCTCCCCCGAGACCCGGGCCGGTTAGGGAGCGCTGGCAGAGGGATTCCTCCACCCCATTGTTATCCCCACTGCAAAGATGCCGATCGATCACATGACACTTTAGAAATAACCAGAGACTCCTCTTCAACTCAACTGCAACTCGTCACAAAGCTGCTTTTTGGACTGATGGACAGACAGCGTTTCCGATACTGGATGTACAGGGTGCACCTCTTTAATCCGACATGATCCTCTCTGCTCCCAATTCAGACTCCGGAGGATCTTCAACGAGAGCGTATGTTTTGGGGAAAGGGGGGGATGGATGGATGAGAGGTCATTTAGTCCAACCCCAGAGTTGTTGGAGCTGGGGACCGGCATCTCTAATAGAGGGATGTTTTCTTCTTGTCAAGGATTAAAGTCTGCTCAGGGAAAGGGTCTCCTGCTAGAGCAAGGGGTTGGACTAGAGGACCTCCAAGGTCCCTTCCAACTCCGATGACGTCCTATTGTTTTGACTGGCAATTTCAGCACCGTCATAACTTGGAAGCGGCGGTCACTAAGCCAATACGCCTGTAACGTACAGCTGCCTCAGGGCTGCAGCCAGTTCCACCTAACCTTCCGAGCCGAGACATAAAAAAGGCACCCTTTAAAAAAATAAATAAAATAAAAATAAAAAATTTGAGCTAATGGCGAAACGGCCCCAGCCGGCAAAAGGCCAACCACGTTGCAAGGGAGAAAGGCAGAAAATTAGAAAACAAATTGGATAATCGGTCGAGGCCGAGCCGAAATCAAATAAGCCAGCCATGAAAATGTCAGAAGTCAATACCGAAAGGAGGGAAGGAAAAAGAGGCTGGCGCGGTGTCAGCAAAGGACGGTCTTAAGGACCGTAGCCAGGGGAATCGGGCCGAAAATATCTATACATATTAAGAACGCGAAGAAAATTCATTTGGGTCCCTGAAAACAAGCCGGCTTTGTTCGCCCGCCTTGCTTGTTGTTGTTTTTTTTTAGATGCAAACGTTAAATTCATTTTTATTTTTTTTTATTGCTTGACAAGGATTTTTCTTCCAGATTCGGCCCGGCAACTTTGCTTCTTGCAAACCAGAGGAGAAAAGAACTTGGCAGCCGTTTAAGCAGCTAGTCCTCAAATTATGTCCACAACTGAGCACTTAATCAGATAAATTCCAGAATACCCAACCTGTTTACTGTCCTCTAATACAGGCAGTCCTTGATTGACGACTACAGTTGAGCTCACTGTTTTTATTGCTAAGCCCCGTTTTACGGCCTCGCTTGCCGTTGTTAAGGGACTCATTGGAGTTGTTAAGTTAGTGACCCGGTTGCTAAGTGGATCTGGCTTCTTTCACTGACTTTGTGCCTCGGAAGGTCACAAAGCGAGACAATCACGTGACCCCGGGACACCACGGCCGCCATAAATACGAGTCACCTTGCCGAGCATCCGAATTTTGATCCCGCGACGGTGAGAGATGCTGCGACGGTCGTGTGAAAAACGTCCATAAGTCAAATGCGGCACTTAACAAATGTCTCGCTTAGTGACAGAAACTTGGGCGTCAGTGGTCGTCGTAAGTTGAGGACTGCTGGTAATTGAGGGCAGAGTGCAACTCTTCTGTCGGAAAACCGGAAGGACTTCACTGCAATGTGGAAGAACAGAGCTGCTGAAATGAAAAAAACTTGAACTTTAACTCTCTCTCTCTCTCAAAAAATGAAATGTGCTCTCTTAACAATCCCTCTTTCTCCGTCTTTTCCCTCCAGGCGTTGTGTCTTGTTCCCACCAGATGTCGAAGCTGTGCTTTCTGCCTCCGGGACCGGATGGAGACGTGCTCCCCCCCCGTCCGAGTTGGCTTCCCCACCCCAAGAAAATTCAAATTTGAGTCTCTTCCAGATTTTGGGCCGAAAATGATCTCTCCGGGATTGTACGCCAAAGATAGGAGATTTTTTTTCCCCGTTTCCCCAGTTGGCGATGACTTAAAACATTGCTGCTTTAAGAGAGGAGGTTGGCTTTGTATACCCCACCCCAAAATGTCCTCTTTGGGGTGATGTTTGCCCACCCAACCCCCCCCCCAAAAAAACATACCTTCTGGACGATGTCAGCCTCCCTGCGCTTTGTTCTCGACGAGAACGGACAGCTCCGTTTTTTATCTTCTGTGAAGAGACCAACTTCCCGTGGCTGGTGCGCTGCTCTCCTTTTTTTTTTTTTTTAAACGTGTTTTTAAATTGGGTGGTGGTCCCGCTCGTTCCGGGATCATCAGCGACTGAGCCAAACAATAAACCCGTTTTAGAAATGAGGGTCCTCGTTTGCACTCCCGGGCTTCCTTCTCCTTCTCATCGTCTCCCTCCCAACTCAGTCCTCGAAAGAAAAAAGTTGGGAAATGTGTAGGGAGGAGGGTAGGAGAGCGAGAAAAGATATTGGGTAGATGGTGATGGTGAGAACGAAGCGAAAAGGATAAAAGAGAGTATCCTTGATAGCTGCGAATGGGTATTGCTGGTTCAGATAGGCCTCGACTTACATTGACTGACCGTATTGCAACGTCGCTGCTTTTCTAGCCGAGGGGTACCCCCCCCCAAAAGTGGCAAACTTGCCAAGTTGAGCCTCCAAACAGCCATGTTGGTCTGTTGGGGGGGGCACTATCAGGGTTTGTCTCCTTCTCTAACTCAGGCTAGCTGCGGCCTCTTTCCTCTTTGCCTTAGGACAGTGGTTCTCAACCTGTGGGTCGGGACCCCATTTGGGGTCGATTGACCATTTCATGGGGGTCGCCAAGCAAGGCTGTCCGCCATTTTTTTTGTCCGCCATTTTTTCCCCTTTTCCGGCGGGTGCCTTAGTTCCCTTGGGCTGGGCCAGCTGGTGGTCGGCCTGCTCCGTCTCTGCCGCTTGCCAGCTACGCCTCAGCCGGCGCAGGGGGCGGAACCACGCATGCGCGGCGCTCCCGGGCAGGGAAAGTCCTCGACTTACGACCGGTTTAGTCCTTGACTTACGACCAGTTTAGTCCTCGACTTACGACCGGTTGGGGGTCGCGGCATTAAAAAGGTTGAGAACCACTGCCTTAGGAGATCCCAGCTGATCACAAGCAAAGCCATTTTCCGTGCCTCTCAAACTGGGATTTTAACCAAATTCTTCCCTTTATTAGAATCTCTTTTTTTTCCCATCTGGGGTGTTTTGCAAAAATAGCCAAAAATTCAGATTGGGGAGGGGGCCTCGCCCACCGCACTGCTGTTTGGTTTTTTCCAAGCAGGTGCCCTGTGCTGTTGCAGCTTGCAAAGGACCAAACTTGGAAAGAAGGCAAATAATGGTTTATGCAAACGTGGTTTGCTTCTCCCCCACACCACCCCCCACGCCCCCCCTGGCGGCCCCCTCCACCACCACCCCTCTCCTCCACAGCCTTGTTTTGCCGCTCCTCGACCTTCCAGGCGGCTGGGATTAATTGCCGTGTTTGATATTGAGATGTCAGGAAAATGTCGGGGTGGAAGTTTTAATTACAGATCGGCTGCCAGCAATTAGAGTGGATTTTGCACGCACGACGGGACTGGCGGAGATGCCAGCGCGGGGGCAACCGCCGGACCCCGATTCCCTCTTTGGCAAGTCACGTGGAGAGGGGTGTCTCGCTGTGGAGCATGGGATACAGCCCCTGTTTTTCGTACTTCGCCGACGGTAAAATCCTCCTTTCCACGGTTTTGTCCTTGTTCTTCCTGGGGAAGAAATAAATACCTGTCGTAAAAAAAAAACATGGAATGAAGGGTTTTCCCCTCAGCGAAGTAGAATACAGCTCGACTTACGACCACCGGTTCTGTTGCTAAGCGAGACATTTGTGAGGGTGCCCCGTTTGACGAGCTTCCTGCCCACGGTTGGCAAGCGAACCCTTGCTTGTTAAGTTAGCCACGCGGTTAGTAAGTGAATCCACACTGACTTGGCTTGGCAGAAGGTCGTAAAAGCGGATCCCCTGAGCCCGGGACACGACGACCGTCGTAAGTATGAATCAGTTTTCCAAGTGTTTGCATTCTGATCGCATGACACAGTGCAGTACAGCCCTGGCTTACAACCATTTGTTTAGTGAGTGTTGAAAAGTGAAAAAAGGGACTTGCCACCAGTCCTCGCACTTACGACCGTCGCAGCGTCCCCCACGGTCACGTGATCCCCATTTGCGACCTTCCCAGCCGGTTTTCCGGCAAGCCAAGTCGTTAAGCGAAGCTGGATTCACATTAATGACCACCTGCAATGATTTGTTTAAGAACTGTGGCAAATAATAATAATAATAATAAATTGCAAAATTGGGACACGCCTTGCTTAATGACTGCCTTGCCTAGTGACAGAAATCCCGGTCTCTATTGTCGTAAGTCAAGGATTGCCTGTGCAGCTTCTTTGAGCCTAGTCGAAGAAATCAAAAATCGTTTTTTTTCCCGCTGAGTCAAATGTATCGGCCAGCTGGCGTGTTGTTGGAAACGCAACGGGTTGTGTTCCAAAGGAAAACCACACCTTACCAGCTGTAGAATTTCTTCTTGAGCAATTTCAGGTCTGCTTTGCTTGCAAGATCAAGTTACTAGTCCTTATCGTGGGGTGTCCCAACGAGATGGGGCTGTTATCAATTGTGTTTGCATTTTGCACAGGGAGTAAAACAGGAATAAACCAAGGTAAATTGTCGTATTTATTTTTTTTTTGCCCTGAGTGTGTTCCTCCTGCTTTAATCCTGCAAAAAAAAAAAAGTCCAAGATTTTGCAATAGGAATTCTTATTATATTCTGTCTGCTTCTCCCACAGGGAATCCCCACATTTTAAATCGTACTTTTGCGATTTGTCGTCGTCTGCCTGGTTCTCGATTGGACCGTTGTGTTAGGATGGGAGGGAAAGGCGAGCAACAACTGGGACTCCCCACACAAAGGGGGGGGGAGAAAACGCACACACGCCGCAATGGGGTGATTGTGCCAGGATCCGCCCTCGACGCCGAATTCTCCGACACCCCCTTCCCAACACCCATTCTGCACAGCTCGGCATTGTCG